CAGCGAACCCAGTTGGTAAAACTAGAGGGAACTAAGGAGAAAAGCAACTAAGGGTAACTAAGAACAGAATGCAAACTAATGGGGGGTAACTGGGTAAAACAACCAAACTTAGAGGTAGAAACAAACCAAGTAAGGGGGGAAACCAATCAAAAGGGTAAAAACAATCAAAGTAAACAGGCAAAAATAACTACAGTTAATGGGGCAACAAAACAGCAGCAGGTCTACCACCTACAAACAAAAAGGACATGCTGTTAAAAGCAATCATAAAACCCTAAAGATTAAAAGTTACCAGCCACCCTACTCACCAGCACTCCAAGCAGAGCAGAAGGCCGACTGCAGGTGAGCTGCTGCCTTTTGTTCAGCTGACCTGATTAGGGGAAGGGAGGGGTTAGAGGAGGAGGGAGAGCTGCATTCAATAGCAGCAAGGTGCTGCCTGCCACATGCATATATTTCAAGTTGTTGTGCATCCCTGCAAACCAACAGAATGAGTGTAAACATAACTTTATTGATAATATAGCACGCCAAAAAATTGGTCTCTTATGATCAACTTACCCCATGTATGGGGTAAGATGACCATAGGAGCGTTGTAAGTTGAGCTGTATCACTACTGACCCCCCACTCTCCACCCCAGTCCTCCTTCACTTTCTCTCTTCCCAAATAACAGTCACTTCTTCACATTAATGTGTATTTTATTATTATTATTATTATTATTATTATTATTATTATACACTTTTCAACTGTTACAATCATTCTTTTTATAATTATTGCATGTAACTGCTAAAAAGCTGTTTTGTAAAAAGTCATTTTAACATGAGAATGCCATTAAGTGATTCAGAACATTCACAGCTGTATTTTTGAAAAGAAAAAGTCACACATTTCAAGACTCTGAACTGAAACTCTGATCCTCTCATCACTCCTTTACTTACTCAGTTGAGCCACTGGCTTAACTTCCCCCTGGCCAAATGGCTCAACCCAGAACTACTACGTCTTGATGATATATTATTATTTATTAGTCCTCTAAGCTAAAATGGTGGACTTTTATGCTAGGGTTTTTACCTCATGTTGTAGCTCATAGATACCACAATTGATGTATAAAACAAATTTAAAATGATCTTTTTTGGTCTGAACACAATTCTAATCAAACTTATGACAGACTAAATTCACTTTCAAGAGTGAAAATTGTTTTTTCGAGATAAATGTCTAACCCCTTCACCCATATGCTTCTAACCTTCACAGACTCCACGAATTGATGCCAATCTCCTAAATAATTGGTCACATGATCAATTTCTTTCACCATTTCCAAGCGACAGGGGGTAGCTCAACTTATCCCACTTTCCCCTATAGTCAAATGTCATTCTGCTTTTTCATGTTTAGAAAGATTATAAGATGAGCTAAACTTCACCAAAAAGAGGAAATAAGGTTTGCAATTCAAAACACTTGTACATGTGGATAGACAGTATTCCTACTAAAGGAAATACCTCAATACCTCAGACTCCGGTAGTCACTATAGAAAGAGCCTCCAAACGTCAGTGACTCCACCTGAAAACAGCTGTTATGATACAAACCAATATTGTCAAATCATTTCTTTTAACTCACACAGAACATTTAAGTCGTAATAAATGTATCTCTGCTATAAACATTTTTATCATCACTTTAAAGGTGATACTATTCAGCTGCATGATGTCTCACCTGTCCTCCCCTGCTGGATCCAGTTTCCTCAGACTCTCTCAGGCTGAATTTAGAAATGAGAATGATTTACTCCACTCTCATTTCTTCCTCCTTTCGAATCATCTCTGTTTTATTTTGTGGCAAAAAAAATAAATAAAAATAAACCGCCTGAGTTTCTCCTTCTGCAGCACTGTTCCCAGTCTTTTCAGCTGCTTCAGAAATAAAGACACCACTCCCCATTAGACACATGAACAGGTTTATTGTTCTGCCATGTACACACTGCAGCTGCTATGCCTGGTTAGCGTTTCAGGTTCATTTTTTAATCATAATTTGATAAAGTCGTACATGCCCGCATAGATATTCGCACTGTTAGTATGTATATATTGTTATCACAATGGAAACAAGATGCTCGTTATCAAATCAATGATCTCTCCTGGACGTTTCTTTAATTCTTCCATTGGATCAAACAAAATGGCAGCGTGAGGATCGTTTTTTGTTTTTTTTTTACATCAAGTCTCAGCTGTGGGTGAACACCAAACACACGGTTTCAGTCTGTACAACATTTCAGCCAATCAAATCCTGTGTTTCAGTGATGGCAAAATCTTAATTAGTCTTTACATGAAGCTTTAGACCTCATTCAAACACACACACTCAAACTCACACACACATCTTTCAGCCTCAGCTGCTGGAGCAAACACGGGTCACAAATGGACGGCTATAAATAAATAAGAGTGTGTGAGGAAACCGTAGACCTTTCTGGACTTTCAGTGGATGAATTTAAAAGAAGTATGAAGAAAAAAAGATTCAAATCAACAACAGCTGTTAAAGTAAAGCATCTTTATGTAACCGGATGTGTTAAAAAAGGAGCAATCAGCTGTTTTACCTTTTTTTGTCAACAAACCCCAAGAAAGACAAAAACAAACAATGCACAAGTCCAAACCTTTTAACTGTCTGACTTTCCTGTCTAGACTTTTATTCTCAGCTACAAGGCCAGAGTAAAATAAAGATTTAATGTGTATATTTACAACTTTACTCAAACTTACTGGACATTTCTCGACTTGTTTTAGGGTTGCAACTCCACATTTAATTCTCTAGTGTTATAGTCAAAGTCTTTGCTGAGTAGGAAAGCTCAAGAAAATATGAACACTTAAGCAGCCAGTTTAAACCATAAAAGTTGGAGATTTGCTCACATAACGTCTGAAATTATTGCTTAAAATTGTTACCAGATATTTAAAAATGAACTGCAGCTGCCCTTCTGCCACCTGTGCTTGTTTACATCAGGGTAGTAGAGCTTTAGAGCTTTCTGACAGCTGTGAGAGGAAACGGAAACATCTAGTGACCATCTAGCGGTCAGATACTAGACTGAAACACTCCCTTGTTCACCTCTCCAGTTGGTGAAGTAACAGTGGCCTTCAGGGACAAAAAGCTTAAAAGTCTGATCCTGCATTTGTCCGTTTTTTACAATCAAACGTGTCCATCACTATAAATCGTTTTGCACAAAACAACAAACACCACCACTCTCTTCTTAGTCATCTTTCAGCTGATGCATTTTTTCACAACGACTTGATAAATACAAAAACAAAAGACCTGTAACAGGTGTAATAAGCTTGTGTCTCATTGCAGTCACTGACTCTGGTTCTCTCTGAGAGTCTGAACTCTCTCATCCTGAAGGTTCCTCTGCCTGACTCAAACTGCTTCAACAATAAAAATCCTTCTTACCAACATTATCACAGGTAAAATGCCCAGTACACAAACTTTGTATGAGCCATCTCCATCCTAATCTGTCTGTCTGTCTGTCTTATCCCTCTCTCTCTTTCTTTCTTTCTGCATCTCCCCCCCATCCTTCTTTCCAATCTCAGCACATATGACTGTCTAACATGAGTCTGGTTCTGCACCAGGTTTCTGCCTGTTAAAGGAAGTTTTTCTTTGAATTGTCTTGTGACTCACTGATTGCTGCAAAATTCTCCTCAGACAAGAGTGAATCATCTCCTATCCTGATGTCAAGTCTTTGGAAAATATAGAACACAGTGTAAACCTGCTCTTATTGCCAAGTGTGCTGAGATAACAACTGTAAGTTTTTGGTTTTACTTGTCTTTTATTTGCCGGATAGTGATGATTTTTTCCTGTTTTCCAAAGATTCTTCATCTTTTGGTGAGGAAGTGCTAAACTGTGTGCAGACCTTAAGCTCCCTCACAGAAACGTGATTTTCAATATTCATCGTTTCTTTGATTGATTGCGAATTAGCATCGCATCGTAGAATAGATTATTTGCAAATGCATCACGGTCTAACCTTGAGAGTGATAGTGTGTGAATGTGGAGAAGATAATGTCTTAAAGACTAAACTGTTCTCTACTACATGAGGCAGAGGATAAAGACTTTAGGTGGAGGAATAAACCAGTTAGACAGATTCATTGTTGGTTTTGCTCTAAACATGAGGTTTGTTGACACAAGGAAAATAAAGCCAGACTGGTCCTTTCAAAGATGGAGGTGCAGGTAGAAGTGAGGAAAAGCAGCACAGGTGAGGGCGGAGCTATGAGGACGGCGGCAGGTAAGTGCTCAGTCTGCGTTAGAACATTCTTCATCACTACTTTCTTTCTCTCTACACACACCGTATATATACACGTACGCAAAGGTGGCAGCTCTGCGACAGATAAATGTGAATGCACGACACACATCAGAAAGACAGACAGACAGACACAGAAATTAAAATAAGGGCAGATGCATGATGGGAAGACGAACGGTGTGATCACACAGCCTGTGTAAACAGATCAGCAGAGTGTAGAAAGAGTCCAGGATGATTCACACATTCACTCCTCCAGATTATTCTCTCAGTACGTTTAATCTCTTCTGTACGGTGGCCATTCTCCAGCTGAATTGCTGCATGTACAGCAGGTTTGGGTGGGCTGATGTATTAAATGCTTTAACTTTTACTGGACTCTCCCCCCATAGTCCAAGCGTGAATTTTATCTCCTTTATTTACAAATGTGTACAAGAGTTCTTCAAGAAGAGGCCCGTGTATGAGGTGAAACGTCCGAGATGCCCCCTTTGACTCTGATCAACCTTTGGTGGGTCGTACCATAATCACGCCTCAGCAGCCAGAAGGTAAAAACAGAAAAAAAACATCATCTGACACATACGAAGGGCGCTATCTTTGGTCACAAAAAGAGCAAAAGAAACAGGATGTAGAGAAAAAAGCACAAAAATACTGTTTCATCATTCAACAAAAGAAAATCCAGTGAACGGTGAGGACAACAGGAAGAGGGACTGGAACATCTGGATCTGAAGAGTGTACAACACCAAAGGCTTCAGTGAAAGATGTAGGGAGCAGCTGCTCAGTCAAAGTGCTCCTCTTCACTCTCCTCCCCCTCCTCCTCATCCTCCTCTTCTTCCTCTTCCTCCTCATCCTGGTCGTCCTCACAGTAGCGTTGGAGCAGGAGGTGCAGGTGCTGTTGCAGGGCGTCAGGCTGCAGGGCGTCTGGGGTGTCATCCAGGCGCTCCAGGTGCACGTGCTTACCTTGGGCATCCCTCACCACAGTCCTCTTCTGGGTTCGTGACTTACGCATTTGGCTTCTGAGGACATGAGAAGAAAAAAAGGGTTACAGCTGATTGAAGATGTCTCTAACCGACTAAACAGCTTCAGTGGATACTTTCAAAGCTGCGGTTCACTCTCTCAGGCAGTAAGTCAGCCACGTCTGTGAGTATGTAAAGCAAGAGTTAACAATATAAGTACTTTGTCTTTAAGCAAGTTTGCATTCCTCTGCACGTGATGCGATGCAAAACTTGCTTAAATAATTGAGCACTTCCTGTAATGGTTAGCATTGCACAAAAATCACAGACAGCATTTCCCACACATAGATAATACCTGGAAAGACTGTCAGCTGTAAAGCACTGGGACTGTCTCTCAGTGCTTTCTACTCCCTGTGTCTGATCACCTATACCACCTGATCCATGCTCTGCAGCTGATCAGAGAGGTCTGTAGCTGCAGCTTTAAAGGGATATTCCGGCGTAAATTTAAGTCAATGTCAAACACACTGAAACACAGAGTTAGACACCCACTCGAGAGATGAATGTTGCCAACCGCTTGCTTCTCTAGTTATACCAACTTTAGTAACGACCACACAATAGCAATACACAGCGGTCTACGTCTCCACACACAAACCTCAACCAAAAAGCAACTTTATAGCCACAAATAATGCTCAGAACAGCACCTAACTTCATCAACAGTATAGAAAGGGTCCCAACCATAGCACTAGCCATTAAACATCTTCTTAACTTTGCCTGATTTCTTTAGCAAAGAGACCAAACACAACTCACCCACTGTCCTCCAGCAGCCGCTTGTCTGTGTAGGAGCCCTGACGAGTCGATCACAGAGTGCAGCGGAAAATTTATGATCATTACTTAATGGAAATGCGATTAGACTGAGACGCTAAGGTAGAAGAACTACCATGTCTGCAGTACAAAATGATTATTATGATTATTATTACTTCAAGGAAATTATCCTCTATACTCGGTGATCGACTCATCAGGGCTTACCCACAAACAAACGGCAGCTGGAGGGCAATGGGTGAGTAGTGTTTAATCTCTTTGCTAAATAAAACAGGCAAATCTAAAAAATGTTTGATGGCTAGTACTATGGCTGTGACCCTATATGTACTGTTGATGAAGTTAGGTGCTGTTCTGAGCATTATTTGTGGCTATAGAATGGCTTTTTGGTTGAGGTTTGCTATCGTGCAGTCATTGCTGAAGTTAGTATGACTAAGCAAGCAGTCGGCAACATTCATCTCTCAAGAGGGTGTCTAACTCGGTGCTACAGTGTGTTTGACCATAACTTAAATTTACGCTGGAATATCTCTCTAAGTTACGTACAAGTTTGAACACCTCTAAGTATCTCATAACCCACCTTGGAGTTAAAAAAATCACATTTTGTTTTTTATATTTAACATTCATTTTTGTTTTATATTGTGTTTTAATAGAGCAGCAATGAGTCTTTAAAAATTTGGTTGCATGTGGGTCTTTACTTCAGAACTATCCATGCTTCTGTGGGCTGTGTTTGACCACTGCACAGGGAGCTGGCGGGTTTGGTGATAACAGGTCATGCACAAAAGAGCTACACAACTGCATATAAACTGCACATTTCTAACTGTGGTGGAAGATTTCATGCAAGAACACAGTGTAAATAATTCCCCATATAGAACAGGCTGCTTTTTATATGACAGCACGTTTCCTCCTCTGGATTCTGAGATTATTTGAAATTAAAACTGACAAAAGAATGATATTTGTAATAATTATAAAAAAGACATGTTTGTAGTTTCAATCAGTCTTTTCTTCATCGGGTGAAATTGTCTTTGTTTTCTCTGGTTTAACTCTTACTTGGTGTCTGCAGACCTTTGTACTCACCCCACTTAAAATCATGTTTCCATGCTACAGCAGCTGAAAACATGGGTTAAACATGCGACTGAACTTGTGTTGAACTTGTACTCTGTAAGCATCTCTTCTTCAGGCTCAGATATCATCATTGTTGTCATAACTATATCAAACCACCAAATATGTCCCTACAATGAAATGAGGCAACAAAACGATGAGATGCAATTTGAGTGTTTTAACTCCATGATGCCCCCTTCTGGTAAAAACTGGAAAACCACTGAGGAGGAGACCAATAAAGCTTAAAAAGACTCAGGATATCACCATCATTTCCACATTTTGACAGGAGCTCTCTCATTCATTTTCAAAAATTTGAAATATGAGACAAGTTGTTTTTCTAAGTTTATGAAAATTGCTTCGAAGGAGCAGGTAATATTTCCCTAACAGCGCTGATGAATCTTCAGTCTGAGCAGAAAGGTTGTGTGTAAAATATTATAATAAATCATCCAAACTCTTGAACAGGTGCAACACTTCAGTTAAGCACAATAATACCCCATTTCATTACCTATCACCCTTCAAACTCATAATAAAGGTTGAATATAACAACCTCAAAGGTTAGACGTGTAATCACAGCATGCTTTTTTGTTAACTGTGAGAACTACTCGATAAAGTTTCTCTGTTGTCATTTCTACACATTCATGCCGCCATCGAACCTTTTAACCACAGAACCGTCGTCCTGTATAATCTCTTTCTCTACTACATGAGGCAGGAGCACTTTCCCAAAACCTCCAGCATAACTCAAAGCCTGGGGGAGAATGAGGGAGGAAAGGGGGATCAGCAGGGTTACAAACTGAGCCTTGAAACAGAGCTGACCAACAGTTTTTACATTCCTCTCATCGCTAACAATAATGTTCAACCAGCTTTTAACAAAATAATCTTTAACATCTCCTCACTGACCTTCTCAAAGTCCTCTCTGGCTGAGGGGAGATCTGCAGCCAGTGAGGGGTCTCCGATCTGCTTCTCCATCCTCTCCCCTCTCACCACTGTCGTCTTCACCACCTTGCTGACCTTCCGGCCCTGCACGGGCTCGACCTCAAACTCTGACGCTGTGGCTGCTCCAAGGGCGGGAGGCTCAGAGAATGTCAACTGGAGAGAAGACGGCGAGATGTGATCATCAAATATGTTCCCTCAACTTCATGTTAAATGAAATGTGGACAGCAGTCTGTAGACAACACTGACCTCTTTCTGATCACCTCCACTGTGGAGCACAGTCCTCTTCACCACTCTCGACACAGTGTCGCCCTCTTCAATCTGCACTGTCTCTTGGTGAGAGCCCTCGATGGTCACTTCCTGTGTCTCCATGCCGTCAGGCGACACAAATTTACGGATCACCTTCCGAGTGATCTAAAGGGGGAACACTGCTTTAGAAACTCCGACCTGGTCTTTAATTACTCTTTATTGAATAGCACTCTGATTTTAACAGTCAGTTTGGGATGTTGTCGTGTTGCTGATGCCTGAATGTTTCCTCACCTTCTTTACCACCATGTTTCCATGCTCATCTGTATACTTCTCCTCTGTAACAGTCTGTGGTGGGATATCTGGTAAGCTGTCTGCCTGTAAAAACACAGAACACAAAGTAAAATCATTCAAATGTTACCTCACAGACATCAGAGCAGAAAAAGCTCCTTCACCAGCATGAAAGCATTTGAAATCACCCAAACAAAAGCAAAAACACTCAATCTAGGGGAATCTTTAAAGCCACTATAATAGAATTTTTTGTTCAAATCATTCAGACCATAAAAGCGTTGCTGCTGTCTTTACACTTTAATAGGATAGGATACCACTGCGAGGAACATTCTACTGATTGTGGCTTTAATTTTTTAAGTTTCAAACAAATAGAACAAAAAAGGCACAGACATGAACTTGTCTTCACATACATGCAAAAATGAAAAACTTAAATTATGCAATTTAGAGAGTAACAAATGAGACAAACAATGAAAGCTTTGGCGTTTATAAGAAGATGGACAGTCAAACCATCTCTACCCTCTAACCCAGCATCACTGCACAGCTGCTTCATGCCTGAATTACCTGAATGATAACTCTGCGTCGGACCACCCTGGTGGTCACCACCTCCTCCTCTGAGCTATCAGAGGACAGAAACCCTAGCTCCTCCTCTATCTCCTGGGAGATGGCACACAACCAGCAGGGGTCAATAAATATATCAGATCTGCACAATAATACCTCAACACAAACCTGCAGACCAGCTGTTACTTCTTTTCTCTTAACCTCACTTTATTTGATCATTTGCCAAAAACGTTACAGATACAGACGAATGGAACAAAGATACAAATGTATGAAGTGAAGTGAGATGAAGAGAAGGCACAGTTATGCAACCATTTTCAAAGAAAATTAACGTGCAGGGATGGGAACCAGTGTGCGAAATACAGGAATGTCTTAGACGGTACTTAGTTTTTAAAAAAACATATTTTCTTCACAGTTTTTTTTACTAAAAATATCACTTTAAAAGACGCAGAAAAGCATAGACCCTGTGATATTACAATTTGAAGTAAAAATATAATGCACAAGGACAGGGACATAACTTCTGTAGAATACTTTACAGCTTTAAGCCTTTAATTGGCAAATGTCAAATGGGCTTTCTGTTAAAACTGCCTTAGTCTGTCATTTTATTCCTGCTTAATCTGAAAACTGTTTTTACGACATGCCTCCACCCCAGCTCAGACATAACTGTGCTCAGCTTTTCGATGAAAGACAATAACACCCTTGTGTGCAAACCCATGCAGTTAACAAATGTGACTTTCTAAAAGCTCTACAATAGACACGGTAATGCTTTTGTAAGCCTGACCCTTTAATTCACATTGACTTCATCTAGGATGTTGAAATGTACATGAAAAGTTCCTCCTTTAGGGTATTTCGCACACTGCGGTGACAACCAACGGGCAAAAATCAAGGAATGCAAACAGGAGCAGGTGAGCCCAAAACTTTATGGTTAGAAACTTGTAAAAGAAGCGTCTGCTGATTCCAGGTGAGGAACTGCCAAACATCAGACCACTAATCACAAAACCAGCCTTTTTAATACGTGATATTCCAAACCGTATCTCATCATCACATATGTTAATTCCTGATATTTTCTAAAGTTTAGGCATTCATGCAAAAAAGCACTCATTAGCCATGTTTATTCCATACAGTGCAAGATTGAGGGTTGTCTCTGAGTAAGTCTTGAATGCAGCACCACAGCAACCAGCCTGGCCAGGCAAGACACCAGCCAGAGCAGCACGGTGCCCATGCTCAATCGCTTACCCTTCCCAGGAAGTCATCATCATCGTAATACCCTGCCTGATCTCTGGAGGGGAGCTCCTCACACACAGGGAGGTCCCCCTCTGCTTGACACTCACGTGAACCCTCCGAATCATAAGCAAATTCACCAAGACTTTCACTGCCGGAGGAGAAGCGCTTGTAGTCCTCTACATGGAGGAAAGGGTGGGTGGCTAACCGAGGACCCCCTTTCACAAGGGTCATATCAAGGCTACTTCCAGGCATTGGTGATGGGGGTTCAGAGATACGGTAGATAACTTCATGATCCAGTTTCACATCCTCTGCGTCGGAGAAGTCAGAAAAGGTTTGTCTGCAGTCATAGAATTCCAGATCGGACTCAGAAAGCTGTGGGGACGCCGATCCTTTCCTGGGTTCTTTTGGTGGAACTTTTTGATCCTCTGATTCAAATTCAGAGACTGTTTTCTCAAATTCAGACAGCACTTTCTGAAATCCAGGGGAAAACTCAAAGTCTTGGGCATCTTCAGGCTCTTCTTTGGCTCCGCTTGTGACCTGAGCTGAGATGGAGTCACTGAATACCGGAGACAGTGGGCTCATATCACTTAGAGAGGCTTGGCTACATTCAGAAACTCTTAAGGTCTGATGTCCTGAAAATACAGCTTCATAATCTGGTGGCACCAAAAACTGAGTTGACATAGGTGAAAAGAGTTCACTGGATTCAGATTTCTTAGAGGATAATTCCCAGTCTGAGGACCCATATGATCTGTCCGACACTTGAGATGACAACATTTCAGAGGCAGGTAGAACTGGAGTAACAGCCCTATGAGTTTTATATGAGTTCTCAACAGGAAGCTGTAGGGGAACTGTTTTTGTAGGTTTGTGAGCAGCGGCAGGCTCACTCAATTTACTGTCATCTTGTGCTGCTGTTGTAGCAGACAACAGAGTGCTTTGTACTGTGCTGTCAGTATGGAACTGTATTTCTCCTGAGGTCTGAAGAGGAGCCTGGAAGCAAATACCGACATGATCTGATTAAGTTCACGCTGAAAAAAAATCACGTATTGGCTATTCTTGGAGAAAGACTCTGACACTCCATCAGGTTAGCAACAATAAATTCTAGTTTCCATCCTGCTAATAACTCAAGCAGTTGGTTGAGATCAGTATGGGTAAAGCCATGACATGCCACTTCAATAACATTTAAGTTTCATACAACCTCAATCCTACAAAAGTTGGGATACCCTTTAAAATGTTGAGGAAAAAGGAAACAGGAATGTCTGCCAACCAATAAGGTCAATATAGGACAAAAACCAGTGCTGGTTGCCATTATATTGGTGCCCTCATGTAACAACACATACATGCTGTATCAAAAATGAGAATTGTGTTCAGATTATACAGTCACCCAATATTTTTTAGAATTAGGGTTGTACGATAAAATCAGAGCTGGAAACAGAGCAATGAGTATTTTGACATTTGCATTGACAACAGTCTGTTTTGTTATTGGTTCAAAAACACACACCGTTAAATCAATCATCCAGGTGATATGTTAGGCGAGTTTAGCCCACACAAGTGAATCTTTGACGGTCATGCTCTCAGTCTTACCCTTTGTGGGTCTGCTGTTGTCTTGATTTCGCCAACAACTGTGAGACAGATCTTCTCTTCCTTTCTTTTAACATCTTGAATTAATGATACCTTCACAGGAAGGTCTTTCTCATTACTTTCTACTTCTAAGCCATGGTGTATTGGCTCATCGAACAACAAACCTTCCGGTTGAGATCTGGGCATGTCTTGCAAGTCAGGATCAACATCTTTCAAATTAGTCCCGCCACTCTCAATTAATGCTGGTGTCACAGCCATTGACTCTGATGAAAGCTGATCAGGTAATAAAGGTGGTGTCACATGACTCAAAAGTTCTGGTTTAGAGACAAACTTGTCAACCGTCTCACAACAAAAGCCTACTTCATCATCTGAATCAACACTGTGAGGGCTCAGCGGCCTTGGGCTGTCATCAATCCAACAATCAATGGGTAATGCAACAAACTCACAGTCTGATGAAAAAGACACAGGTGAGGATGATCTGTCTACATAGGTAGCATCCATAAAATATGAGGACAATATTCTCATAAACTGGGGTACAGGAGAGTCAGGCAGCAGCTGTCTGAACTCATTGATGGATGATATGGACTCAGGTGAGGATGGTCTGTCAGTCTCAGCAACTCTGGATGATGTGACCATGAGCTCACACTCTGAATCTGAATCCAACGATTCAGGAGATGATGACCTATGTGTGGTGGCGCACTCACCCACGAATACTGGGAACTGAGGGATTGGAGAGTCTGGAGACAATGACCTCTTCTCATTGTATTCAGGCATAGATTCTGGAGATGAGGCTCTTCTGTGAGATTCCAAATTTTCTAATGTGGTACACTCTATATCAGGCATGTAATCTATGTCTGATGCTAAAGTTGCAGGTGAAGATGAATATGATCTTAGAAATGTTACGCATTCTGGTAATGCTGTTGTAAACTGAGGTAAGGGGGAATCTAGTGAAAGTTGTCTAAGCTCATTGACTGACGTTATGGATTCAGGAGAAGATGCTCTGTCGTGAAATTCCAAATGTCCTAAAGCCATGTGGTCTGTATCAGGCATATAATCCAGGTCTGATGCTAAAGATGCAGGAGAAGATGAGGTTGATCTTCGATACATTACACATTCTGGTAATGCTGTTGTAAACTGAGGCAAGGGGGAATCTGGTGAGAGTTGCCTTTGCTCATTGACTGACCTTGCAGATTCAGGAGATGATGCTCTGTCATAAGATTCCAAATGTCCTAATGTATTGTAATCTACATCTGGCATATAATCTATATCTGATGCTAAAGACGCAGGAGAAGATGAGGTTGATCTCAGGAATGCTACGCTTTCTGGTAATGTTGTAAACTGAGGTAAGGGGGAATCAGGAGAGAGTTTCCTTAGCTCATTGATTGATGTTACAGACTCAGGAGATGATGCTCTTACCTCTGAAAGCATAACTAAACCTGGGGACATGGGTCTATACTCTGACAAAGAGTCTGGTGAATAGCACACATCATCAAATGCATCAGAAACTGATACAACAACCAGATCGCCACCAGATTTTGTCTGAACTCCACTGTCTGGTTTTTCAAATGTATGCTCAGCCAGTCTGTACAGAGCCCCTCTAGATGATGAAATGTGTTCAACCATGGGTGGAGGTGACTCTGGAACCTGTTTGTTGGATGAGAATTCATCTGTTTCTGTGTCGGTTTTGTTTAATAGATATGTCACCTCTGAGGATGTTTTTGTGGCATGGGTATCTTGCAAACTTGAATCTTTAAATTCAATATTTGTTTCATCATCTTGGACATTATCTATCCTGCTGCCAATAAACTGCATAAATCCTGTCTTACTGCTGAATGTTTCCCCTGCATACTGAGGATCGTGTACTTTAGAAACTAGCTTCCAGAGCTCTGCATCATAAATAAGATTATACTCGGCTACCATGATGACTGTTTCCTCTAGTGATGAAGATGCCACTGCTGCGGATGAAACTGCACTATCACTATTTGCTTCATTTAGAGTAGGTACTGTTGATTCATTCATTGACAAATTGGACACCAACTGTAAAGTCTCCTCGTCTGATTCCACAGACTTTGGTGATACTGGCCTGTCCTCTGGACAAAATGGGTCTAAAGCTTGGGACATATCGTCAGAATCTGAGTATTCAGTTGGGGATAAATCTCTCAGAGCTATTACATTTTCCACAAATATCCTTGTAAAATCAGGTATTGGCGACTCTGAGGATTTACATTGATCATCTGATCTATCTGATTGAGGTGATAGTGGTCTCAAGTCAGTAACATCAACGCCATGTAAAGCCAGATAATCTTCCGCATCTGAAATAATTGATTCCGGGGATGAACATGCATTGTGCATTTCAAATGTTGTAGTTTGAAGAATATTTTGTGCAAACCAAGGCAGAGGTGAGTCTGGAGACAGCATCCTGTGTTCATCAAGTGATTGAGAAGATTCTGGAGATGTTGATCTGATATCATCAAGCTGCATCAATGCTGTAGGCGACAATGGTTTGTATTCTGGTAGGGATTCAGCTGATGGTGGCCTGTCTTGTATCTCTGATGCAACAGATTCAGGAGAATCTGGTCTTTTGTCACCATCATAACTCATGGACACTAGTAACTCACTCAAAGCATACTCAATGTCAGACTCAATTGATTCAGGAGATAAGGATCTGAACCAATGATTCACTATGACATTTCTAGGTGTGAAATCAGGTATAGGGGAGTCTGGTGACAGAGCCCGGTACTCATCTTTAGATGCTCCTGAGCCAGGTGAAGAGACTCTATGGTCATGACTTAATGAACTTAAACTAAGGACAATGCATTCTTCATCTGAACATGCAGACTCTGGTGATACTGACCTACATCCAAAAACAGGTGGAGGCATCTCAAAACTTGTTTGAAAGAAGTCTGGTATAGGGGAATCAGGGGAAAGTCTTGAGGATGCCAGCGATTCAGGAGATGATGGTCTGCTTTCCAAGATCATTGGAAAATGTGAATCAATTCCCAAATCTGACAGCACTGACTCAGGTGAGGTGGACCTTGAGTGCATGTAAGCAATAGTTGAAACATGTAGTGTGTTTGTGAATTCTGGTATAGGTGAGTCTGGGGAAAGATGTCTAAGAGCTTCATTGGATACAGCTGAACCAGGAGATGCTGCTCTGTCTTCAAAAAGCCAGGGGAAACACAAATCTGTCTCCAAATCTTCATCCACGTACTCTGATGCAGGTGATGTAGATCTGTATCTTAGCCCCAATATAGCTGGTAGATCAAAGGTGGAGTAGTCAGGCACAGGTGAGTCCGGAGAAAGTCTGTATTTACTCAGAGATGTCAAAGACTCAGGAGAAGAGGGCCGGTCTTCTAAAACTACTGGGATAGAAAACTCAAGTTCCACATCTATATCTGACAAAACAGAGTCAGGTGAGGATGACCTGTAGTCTGAATGAGAAATAGCTGACCTGAGCAATGGCTGCGTAAATTCAGGAATGGGTGAGTCAGGAGAAAGAGGTCTAAGTTCTTCATTTGATACAACTGAACCAGGAGATTCCGCTCTGTCTTCAAGAAACCAGGGGAAACACAAATCTGTCTCCAAATCCTCATCCACGTACTCTGATGCAGGTGATGTGGATCTGTATCTTCCTAAAACAGTGGTAGGTACAGTCATAGTATACTGGGGCAAAGGTGAGTCAGGAGACAAAGATCCAAGGTTTGAATCAGACACCCATGATAGACAGGATTCTGATCTTTCCTCAAAATCAAAAGTCAAAAGATTAATAGGCTCATATTCAGTCTCTGGAGCCCTTGATGCAGGAGACACTGGCCTGTAGGCACCAAACTGTGGATTTATCTCCAGCAAAGCTTGTCTAAAGTCTGGTATGGGGGAATCAGGAGAAAGTCTGCAAGTATTCAGAGATGCTGTAGACTCTGGAGAGGAGGGGCGGTCTTCTGTTACTGTTTGACAACACAATTCAAGTTCAAAATCCAAATCTGACAGAACTGAGTCAGGGGAGGAAGACCTAAAGCCAAAATCAGGAATGGTGGATTGTGCCTGATTAAATTCAGGAATGGGTGAGTCAGGAGAAAGAGGTCGAAGTTCTTCATCACTTACAGCTGAACCAGGAGATGCTGCTCTGTCTTCAAAAAGCCAAGGGAAACACAAATCTGTCTCCAAATCCTCATCCAGGTACTCTGATACAGGTGATGTGGATCTGTTTTTCACCTCTACTGTAGCCAGTAAATTCATTGAATAATCAGGCAGTGGAGAGTCAGGAGACAAACATCTGAGATCTGTGTGAGACGCCCCTGATAGAGGGGATTCTGCTCTCTCCTCAAAGTCAAATATTTGTGAAATTAGAGGTGCATACTCTGTTTCTGAAACCTCTGAGTCAGGTGTATATGACCTATATGCATAAAACTCTGTACAAGTTTCTTGCAAACCCTGTCTGAAGTCAGGCAAAGGGGAATCAGGGGACAGTCTTTCAGATGCTAAAGACCCAGGAGAAGAGGGTCGGCCCTTTGTCATGGATGACCAAGAGTCACACTCTGCTTCCAAATCTGAAGACACTGACTCAGGTGAAGGGGATCTTAATTCCATATTAATGCCTGTTGACTCTTGTGGTACAGGTCTAAAGTCTGGAATAGGGGAGTCTGGTGATAGAGTTCTGAACTGGTTTAGAGAGCCAGTCGATTCAGGGGAGGATGATCTGTAATTTGACATTAACACTAGTAATGTGGGTGAGAGAGGCCTATACTCTGACTCTGAATCAGGTGACAGAGGTCTATCTTCAGTTTCAGGTTCTGGTGACTCTGGAGAATCGGGTCTGTCTTCAGCTTCGAGCAGGGAACCAATCAAAGGCGCATACTCAATATCTGACGTAGGTGATATGGGAGATGATGATCTAAACCCAACAAAAGATGGGAAACGTTCCACTACTTTTGCAACAAATTGCGGTACAGGTGAATCTGGTGGCTGTGCTCTGTATTCAACTCCAGAGGCCACTGAGTCTGGGGATGAAGGTCTTTGATCATCTGTTACCGAGTCAAATATCTCATCTCTGTAGTCTATTTCTGAATAGCAAACTGAGTCAGGTGAGACAGATATGCACCCAGCAGTTGAAATAGTTGGGTAAAGTAAATCCTGTCCGAAGTCAGGTAAGGGGGAATCAGGTGACAGTGCTCTGAACTCAGTTTCAGAATCAGGGGTAAAACGTCTCCCCTGCAACTCAAGAGATTCCATGTCCAGTTCATCAGTTTCAGCATCAGATAACAATGGTGACGATGACCTGCTCCCAGATGTAAACCAAGCCGTTTCCATGAATTGTTCAAACTGAGGTGTCGGAGAATCCGGGGATAAAGTCCTAAACTTGTTTACTGATGTTGTTGAATCAGGAGATGATGCTCTTATTTTTGAGGTTACCATAAGTGAATTGGGTGACATAGGCCTAAATTCTGTCTCTGAGTCTGGTGTGAGTGGCCTTGTGACAATTTCTGATGTCACTGAATCAGGAGAGGCTGGTCTATTGTGGATGTCAAAGTCTGACAGAAAAACAGATGAATCCTCAAGATCTGAGGTAACTGATTCAGGTGAGGATGATCTATAATTTGCAACTGCAGAAACAGGGTCCTGTAGCTCAGCCCTAAAGTCAGGCACTGGTGAGTCAGGAGAAAGGGGTCTATGTTTACTGAGGGATGCTTCTGATCCAGGAGACGATACTCTTGACTCAGTTAAAATAGCAACATCAAACTGGTCAAGTTCTGGTTCTGAATCTGATTCTAGTTCAGGGGAAGGTGTACTCTGATATGGTATTACAGGTTCAGGAACTGAGACAGAAAACTGGGGAATAGGTGAGTCTGCACATAAAGGTCTGTTTCCATACACACAGTCCTCTGTCTCTATGGAATCAGACCTGAGAAGACTGAGTACCTTCAAGTCTTCAGGTGAAAACGGTCTATACTCTGCCTCGGAGTCAGGTGACATTGCCCTACTTGTCTCTTCAGCATCTAAGTCAAGTAAAACATGTTCCTTACTGGTCTCTGTATCTTTAGACTTTTCTTCTAGACTTTCTCCTACATATTGAGGATCATACATCTGACATATTAGCTGCTTTGTTCTGAATGTTGCACCTGACTCTAGTTGCCTTTCCCCATCCATGGAAACAGTTTGTTCTTCCTTGGTCTTTTGTGGCATTGCTTGTTGGTATTCTGCATTGTTGACCTTCATGCTGTCCTCTAACCTCTCCTCTTTCACATCTGAATCTTCATGAACATACTCAATTCTTGTCCCAGCATACTCAAAAACCCCAGTTTTGCTTGAAAAAGTCTCCCCAACATATTGAGGATCACGGATCTGAGAAATTAGTCTCCAGAGTTCAGCATCATAAACAAGTCTGTAGACTGGCACCCTGATTGCCTTAAGAGATGAGGTTTGGTTACCACCACCCAATAGACCCTCTGAAACTTGTGATTCTGGTGAGTCAGGTCTTTGCTCACATATACTCATGTCTACACTTGACTGAGTGTATTCAACATCAGAAACTACTGACTCAGAAGATGATGATCTGTGAAAACTAAATGGTACTGATTCAGCTAATCCTGTAGCAAATTCTGGTATGGGTGAGTCACTTCTGTAGTCATCTCCAGAAACTGCTGAATCAGGTGAGGATGGTCTAAATTCAGTAGACTGTTGTGAGAAGGGTATCATCCCAAATTCTACGTCTGAACAAACTGATATTGGTGATGAAGAGCGGTTTCCAAGTGTCCAAACAGAAGACTCAGGCAAAGCCGGTCCAAACAAAGGTATGGGCGACTCGGGTGAGAGGGGCCGGTCTTCATCAACTGAACCTGGAGATGATGGTCTGCTCTCAGCAAATACCAAAGAAGACAAAGACACACTTTCTATATCAGATGTTACTGATTCAAAAGATAAAGTCCGACCTAGTCTAGTACTCAACGCTGGTTCTTGGTAAAAGAGTCTAAAATCTGGAATAGGTGAGTCAGGAGACAGTGGATTGTATATGTTTCCAGACCCTACTGAATCAGGAGAGGCTGGTCTGTCATCACAAAGAAATAACACATTCAAATCAGTCTCTAGATCTGACCACACTGAAACTGTTGACTCTGATCTGTGATAAAGATGAGAGGGTTCAGATATAGAGGCAAAGAACTGAGGAGTTGGAGAATCTGGTGCTAAAGCCCGCTGACTGTCCACAGATCTCCCTGAGTTGGAAGAATCTGGTCTAGATTTATGCAATGCCAACAGGGACTGTGGTGACATCGGTCTGAATTCTGATTCAGAGTCTGGTGAGAGTGATCTTTGCAAGGCAGCTTCTTTCTCCCCTAGTGTCACATCGTGTTCTATCTGATTTGACTCAATTCTTGTCCCTGTAAACTGCAACATGACAGTCTTATGAAGAAATGTTTCTCCAACATACTGTGGGTCACGGATTTGAGAGATGAGCTTCCAAAGTTCAGCATCATAAGTCAAACTATAGCCTGGCACTGAACATTCTGCTAAGGATGAAGGTATATGATGCTGTGCAGACACTGATGGGTGTACATCAACAGATAGAGACTCTGGAGACAGAAGAGGTGAATGGTCTTCATCGAATACCTGTGCCTCTTTGTATGTAGATGACTCTTGTGTCTCTCTGTCTGTGGATATTTCTTGTGCCTCTCTGTACGTGGATGAATTTTGAGTCTCTTTGTATGTTGTAGTGATACAGCCATTTGACTCAAGTGATTCTTGTGCTTCCATGTGTGTTATAGTAATAAGGTCAGATGATTCTTGAGTCTCTCTGTATGCAGATGACTCTTGTGTGTCTTCATAAGTTGTAACGATACGATCACATAATTCTAGTGGTTCTTGTGCTTCTTTTTGTGTTAAAGTAGTAGGGTCAGATGATTCTTGTGCATCTTTGAAAGTTGTGGTTGTGTACTCAGACAATTCTGTCAGGTGTTTCGTAAACATCTGCTCATGGTCATCATCAGCTTTAACTAAGTTCTTAGATTTTTTCTTTTTGGCAGATTTTGCTTTTGGACTGTGAATTTTCTCCATTAAGAGTCCTTGATCAAACACCTCATCAGATCTTTTCTCTGTAACTACATCACTTGACAAAACCTCAGCCTCTGCTGGTGGTTTAGCAATGCTGTGATCAGACAGAGGGTCATCGAGCTCTAATGATGTCTTGGTCATTTTAGCTTCAGTGTTTTTCACAAGGTTTCCTTCAGAATTTGACAAAATATAGATTGAATTGTCATCTTTTCTTTTGGATTTTTCTAGACTGGACACTGGGTCTATTTTTGTTTCAATAAGCCTTTCACCACATGCTTCTTCTCCAAAAACTGTTTCTCTTGTTAGTTCTTCCATAACAGATTGTTCATTTGCTGGATCTGGCTCCTCTTGACTTGCAGGATACCTTGTATCCTTGACCTTGTATGATAGCAAGGTCTGAGGTTCATGTTCTGTATCTGATAGCCTTGAGTTTTGAGATGATTGTTGATTAACATTTACAGAATTTTTAATAAAATTATGTGTGGGAGAATTTGAGGCTGTGTTGGGTTTTTCTGATTCAGGAGTTGATGTCCTGACTGGCTGTGGAGGGGTTATGCTTTGATCTGTTACTAACTCCAGTGAAAATTCACTTTCCTCAATATCCGATGACGTTATTATGACCCAATCGTCATCAAAGTCAAATAACTTTTCTACTGACGTTGGTGGTTTGTTCTCTGTATCGGTTTCTAATGTTTCAGCTGATTCTGGTTTAGGGTAAGCGGGTAAATCCCCCACTACCTCTGCATAGTCAACTAATTTAGCGGAGGATGATGGATGCCCAGATTCATATTCATCTACAGATGCAACTGAAGCAGGTGATGAAGCTCTATCTTCAAATTTAAGTAATCCTGGAGACATGGAGCCATATTCTATATCAGAGCACACAGATTTAGGTGAAGAAGATCTTTCACCAAATATAGTTACAGATGTGTCTGGAAAGTTGTAACTGAATTCAGGTATGGGTGAATCAGGTGACAATGCTTTGTATTGGTCTATTGATGCTACAGATTCCGGGGATGTTGGTCGAGACTCTGAGAAATGTCTTAAGTCTGGGATCGTGGGAGGATAATATTCAGTGATGGAACCAAAACATTCAAGCGATGATGGCGTTGTCTCTTGGAAATCAGACAAAACATGCTCAGAGGTTGTAAAAAACCACTGTACTGATTCCAGAATAACAGACTCTGGAGATGACGCTCTGTCATCAATGTCAAAAGTTAATGACTGAGGGGAGATTGATCTCACACCACTATATTCACTGTCATGTGATAAAGGCCTTCCAAATGGTTTTTTGTTTGAAACCATTGGGGTCAACGGCCTCTCCTCTGCTCCTGCTGTTGACAGCATAGATGTGCCTCCTGTTGCACTCAGTAATTGCTCCTTGTGAACAGACTCCCCAGCATCACCAGTTTCCCAGAGGAATGCAGGAGGTGGGAGGGGAGACAAGGGCCTAAACTGAGGTACTGGAGAATCAGGTGCAAGAAAATTCAGCTCGTTAACTGATGACTCTGATTCAGGTGATGAGGCTCTACTATCTGTCAGTGGTATGGTGGTGTCAGACACATATTCAAGTGAAGGTGATCTATCATAAGCTGAGATAGGAAGTTCAAAAATAGCTTCAGAAGTGCGAAGTGGTAGACAGGTTGTATAAGTAGTAGACTCTGAGGACAACACCATATCACTTACTGCTATAACAGACAAACCTGCTGTGTCAGCATCTATCAGCTCAAAAGTTGAGTCATGTGACACCTGAGCAAACCTAGTTGAGCTTAAGGGTTCTGGTTGTTGGACTGTTAAAACTGGAATGGTAGACTTCTCTGTTGGCTGATTTCTGTCATGAGTAGATTTGACATCCAGGTCACTAGAAATCGAGGCTTTGTCAACTTCAATCTCAAACATTAAGTTGTCTTCATCTGTCTTGATTCCAACTTGAGTAGTGTCTTCAGGGGGCCCATTTAAAGGATCTGCAGATATATTCTCACTTGCTGTATCCCCCTGGTCGACATCATATCCGTACAGTACTTTATAGAGTCGACGTGAAACTTCATCCATGTGCTTTCCTGACACTGGTTTGGTATGGGTGGACACTGAAGTTTGAAGCCTTTGTTCAGTTGTTAGACTCTTCTCTGAGACCTCACTGGTTCCCAAGAGCTCCATTGAGAGTTTCCTGAAGTCTTGCTCAGCATCATCACACTCAATCAAGCTGTCTTCAAAGTCGTTCATAGACAACGGCCGACTCTCGCAGACACCTGTTCGAGATCTGTTGGATAACTCTCGCCAAGGCTCCGGTGACAAATAATGAGAGTCAGACTCAGAGTGAGTAGTTTGTAGGCACTCCAAGCTCCACTCCTCTCCCCCCTCTGCACCCTCATACCCAGCAGCCCCTTCATCATCACATGGTTCAACATTGGGGTAAGGAGGGGGGGTAACCTGGGCACCTAACTTTGGTCCCCCTTTGTACACAGGGTCTATCACATGGGACCGGAGGTTGTAGGGGGAGGTGCGGTACAATGTGAAGAAAGGACTTACTTGTTTATAACTGCCTGTTTGTACCATATCTGTCAATTCCTCGTACACTCTTTGTGATGAGCTGTAAAAGAGGAAAGAAAAGCAGTCATCATCCGTGAACATAAACAAAGACAAGAAGGTGGGTCGATATTTTGCACAACTTACTATGCTGTCTCCATCTCCTTCTGAAGTTTCTCCTTCTGGGCATTTTTGAGGAGGCCTCTTGCTGTGGAATCCACCTCCAATCGTCCTGGTGTATCTGGAAGCGATGACAAACTGGAAGAAAGATCCTCAGCTGACACCATGGGTACCTCGTGTCCAGAACCCGGACTCCTACGTGTGGCCTCTGTGCGCCTGCCTGGCCTTGGGCTGTCAATGTCTTCATGAAGGGCAGAGAAACCTAAGGGGAGGTTAGGTGCCATGTGTAAACTGATAACAGAAATAGGATATAACAGTTCGCAAATTATTTAAACTCTGGGCCTGGGACGATAACAAATTTTGCTGGACTATGTATTATCCCACAAATTATTGACGATAAAGGATAATATTGTCGACATTAACAAGACCAAAATAACCACTTATGTAATGTTAATATATCACATATTTTCTGGAGGGCAATTCGTATTATTGGTCAAAAGTTTTTATCATTTCTCGAAATGCTGGCTTTTTTAACTGTACTAAATTGCAGCATTTCTTTGGCAATGTAGCGAACTACACTTTCTGTGAGTGCACAGCATTTTGCGCTGTTCCGACTGTACTTGCTTTGTTGACCAAATGCTTCAGTAAGTGTTGGCTGTCGGGCCAATGGCTCCGCAGCTTTTTTCCCCAGCTGGGGAACCTCAGCCGGGTGATTGTGTTTGAGGTGGGCATGCAAGTTCATGTGTTGCCTTTATTGTCGCTACTATTTTCAAACGCGCAAAACAAGGAAAACAAACACACGCATGCACATGGCAATATATCGAGGCTTGAAAAATTATCGGGTTCATTTTTATTTATCATGCAATTAATTGATTTATTGATTATCGTCCCAGGCCAACTGAATTCAAAGTAAAAGTTGGGACAGATTTCAATACGTCGGCCCACAGCACAGTTAAAACAAGTAATTTTTACAGTTAAAAAATGTTGTCTTTCATCCATTCGGCAAGGAGTATAGGGTTCAAATTATGTCCAACCATCAAAATCTTTTCTTTTTTCAACATTTTATACAGTTTCCCAGCTTTTTAGGAATTAGGGTCATGAGACAGTCATCAGTCACCTGAAAGTTATAAATTGGATTGAATACCTTCACTATGATCCAGTGCAATGGTTCTCTCTATTTCTGCATAGGTATGTGATGAGGTCTCCTCCTGGTGGGACTTGATTATCTTGGTTTCGATGAGGTGAACGATGTCCATTCGGTTGATTTTAGTCAGTCTTTTGATCAGTGTTGTCTCTGGTGATACATCAAACAGAAACATGAGCTTCTACTTTGTACATTCTCAAACTGTGTAAAATATTAACCTTATTTATTACCAACCTGTGCCATGCTTTCCCTCTTGCTCTGCCCAAAGTTTCAACAGGGCATGGCTTTGGTCTTGAAGTGAGTTGGGGTTTTCAATCCTTATCAGGTTGATTCTCTCCTCACTGAACTCCAGTTCCCGTGCTAGCTCTGTTGATACAAAAGGGTTAACATTGAACTGACTATCCTCAGGCAAAATGTGTTTGAAGTGTTTCTCCTTGGCAGCCTTTATGGTGTAAACTCACCTGTCCAGCTGAAGCCCAGATGGTCGGCTATTATGGCCAACCGTTGCTCTTTTCTCTCTGCTTCATCCTGTGGATCTACTGCAAACACCACCAGACAGCCGTGAGCGGTCAGAGCCGCACGGTTAAACAAATCAAGTCACAACCACAAATGGCATGGAAACAAAGTCTTCACTGGCTTTCTCTTTTCACAAGTACCGATTTTTTAATGCTATCAAACAAATTCAAATCAAAAACAAGAACTTCACGCCTGTGAAGTAGATCAAGATTTATACAACAGTCACTTAAATTTACAGACATTACATATGAGTGTTTGACTTACTATTTACACTTAAATCTTTACATGTTTCAGTCACTAGTTGTTTTCACAATTTCCATAAAGCCTTTAAGTCAATCTTGAGATTATCAGCACACATAGAAGGAAAGAGAGACGTCACTACGAACACAAACAAAGCTCAAGTGATACAGCCACATGGATTCTTCAGCTACGATGGGACTGAACTACAAGAGACAGAGAGGCAGCACCTTTACAGCTACAGTGTACTAATGAAGCTAAAGAGATAGAGAATAGCCCCTTAAACTGGGGGGATACCTTGACTTTGGACTTTATCGTCTGGGATTCGCTGCATCTGTGTCTCAACAGGGTCGTCCCACAGTGGTCTAATGGGAAAGACGTCTCCTGAGGGAGGGAACTGCATCTCAGGGAAAGTTTCTCTTTCTATGATTGACGGATCAATGAGACTGCTCTCATCGTCTGAGTTGGCTGCTGCAGCTTCTTGTTCTTTCTCTGTATCTGCCTGCGCCAACCTCGCCACAAGCTTTGCAGCCTCATCAGCTATCTCTTCAAAGCCCTCAATGGACTGTTTCTGTGGCTCACTTTTCTCTTTAGTTGG